AGAGCAGTGTTTACAGAAACACAGGAGCGGCTCACCTCTGATCTGCCCTGCGATAGGGGAAAAAGAAAAGACAGCGAGGGAATGAGAGAGAAGGACAGAGAGGAAAGGAGACGCCAGGGGTTACATGATTGCAGGACAAACTCATAAAAGTTCCATTAACCCACGAGGAGTTAAAGAGGCCCTGTTTTCATCCAGCAGACAGCCGTCACTAACAGAGCATCACCATAAACTGTGTCCGCCTTCCTTACCTCCATCTTTCTCTTGATCTCTTCAGCCCTCATTCCAGTCTGTGTTTCTTGTTCTCCTTCATCTCTGTGTTTGTTTACTTCTTTTTAAATATTTTACTTATTTCAGGCTTCCTATTCAAAGTAAAAAAAGAACAGACATTACAAACACATATCCATAAAACAAGGACTCTCTCCGCCTTAAGCCCTTCCACTCTTCCTCCCTTTCTTTTCCTCCCCCTCAGTTGACCAAACCAGGACTCCTTCCTTACACCCTCTCCCCTTTTAATCTGGCGTGTGAGTCATAACTTGAAGACGCCACAGGTTTGTTAGCGTCAGTCTGTCTGTCTTATTAAACCAGCTGGCCATTCATCCATGTCTATTTACTAACTAAAGGTTGATCTGACTGCTATAAAGGGAGATTTGCATTACAAAATATGTGTAAGGACATGTTGTCCACTGAAATAGTAACCTGAGATTGTATTGTTTTAATTTTGTTGCCATCTTTGGTATTGAGTTAGAGTCTGCCCTTTCCAGCGGTGGCTGTAAATCCACTCTTCTTTTAGGCTTTCAGTCCAGCTTTCTCTTGTTAAAATATGCTAACTAAGCAGCTCTGCTTTGATTGATTCAGCTGCAGCCTCTGCCAGAAACAAAACGCCTCACTTCCTGTTCGCCAGAGGAGACCCAAGTAACCCTGTTGTCCTGAAAAGGGTATAGTTGAAACGTAATCAGTTATTGTATTACTTTAAATTCAGTTGCACAATTATAACAATTATTTTCACCTAGTTCATTATGAATTAAAATCTGTGCAATTGATATGCACTCATGAAGAACACAAATTAAAATAATAAAATATCAGAAGAAACTCCGACAATTTACTATCCAATTATCAACAGAATAGCTGAAAATACATAAAATATGCAGTGTATGGTTCTTTCTGCTCTTGTACGAAAATCTATTTATATAAGATTTAAATACAACATGTGATCAAAGCATTTCACATAATCAGGAAAAGTAATCGTGTATCTAGGGATGAATCAGGACTACCGTGTGAGGCTGAATCCTGGAGCCATGTCGTATAATAGTTTGAACAGACACTTTAATCCTACAGATAAAGGTTTTTCTGTTGAATCATGTTTTTGTTACCCCGGGCAAGCTTGTTTACTCACTCCCCCACCACACATACACTGCTGACCCTATGCCTTGACAGTCACAACAGTTTTATAGTTGTGGGGAGGTCAGCTCCAAGCCAAACAGTGTGAGTGTTCTTTGAAATCGTCCATTAAGGCACTAAGCACATGCTCTTAGCTCTTCTTCTGATGCTCTCACTATCTGGTACCACCATCTCCCCTGCTCTCTTTCCCATGGTGTAACCTTACCTCCGAAAGTTATCTTTCCATAACACACACACTCAAAGAAATAACTCATTGGATTAACTCAATTTTATTGTTGGCAGGTTTTCCATCCAATAAATATATGTGGCACAAACTCAAACTAATGGCATCCATGCAGTATAATGTAAATGAGTTAGTCCAACTCAAATTTTTCAAATAGAGTTTAAGTAAAATGATAACATTACCTTTATGAATTTAGATAATGCTAGTCCACCTAAATCCTATTTAATTAATTGAAAATGAAATAATGAGGTTAAATATAATTTAATAAAAATGTGTTACACATGATAGAAAACATGGTTTAGTTTTTTTTATTTTTAAATTCACATTATTCAAAACAATCCTCCATTCAATAGTGTTTTAAAATGAATGAATTCACACTGAAAGATGAAAAACATTTCTGAAAGATAATACCATTTTTAAAATGGCAGAGAAATGGAACTCCTATAATTAACTTACAAATCTCCCTTTGCCAAATACAATGAATACAATATAACAGGGGTATGCACTGCTCTTCTAACAGGACAATAACACATAACATGAAGAGTGCACTGCAAACACCAACATATGGAAATAGTGTTACAGTGTGTTGAAACAAACAAATACAGAAAAGCACAAATGATTGATATAACGGCTCAATCTGCTCTGATTAGGAAACTCGTGAATAAAATGACAACAATGAACTCATGAGTCACTTCTTTTTCACATTTCAATCGAACAACTTGATCTTCAGACTTTCGATTTTACCATTCAGCTTGTGCCCATCCAGATTCATCACTACCTTCTGCATGAACTCGAAGGTGTGTTTGAGGTTGTCCGGAAAGCTCAAATCCAGGGCATAAATAAGTCCCAATAGCATGACAAACCCCACAATCACGCTGCCCAAGTTGTCCATGACTATATTGCCTTCGATGACAATTCCCACGTCCTCTTGCTGCCCATCCACATCTCTTTGAAGTGTGTATATGCCCATGACTGTGTTTGCCATGTCCCTCTTGGCATCTTCAGAGGCAGAGGCCTGAACAAAGACACAAGCATACAACACATGTGTTAACTAAAACCTGAATTACTACATTTTATAGAAGCAGATTTACTTATGTGGCTCTCCTCATTGATCAAAACAGTTTTAGACTAACCCTCTGGTATCACTCAAATGTACTATCCAATCTGGCCACTCAGGATAAAAATGTCCACTTTCAAAAACTTGAATGATAAAATGATATGATAACAATATTATATTTAAATATTTTTCCCCCACACTTTTTGGGAAGTGTGGGGGAAAAAGGGAACATTTTTTAAATGGACAATTAGGGTAATTTGTACACAGTGTATTCGAGACCGATTAGAAAAATTGAAATTCCAAAAAGTATCTAGAAAAAACACAAAATCATTATAGCCAAATCTGATGTGAAAAATTACCAATTTGGACAAAAATGTCCGAGTGATACCAGAGAAGGTTAGGACCTCCAACACAGAACTAAATTAAGCTTGTAAGAAAATGTTTACATAAATAAATTATAAAGATATATTCCTGTATGTTCTGTTTGATTATCAACTTTATCTTATTTATTAATTCAGGTATTAAGTTATTTGTTTACATCCCTACTTAATCATGTAATTTGTTGTTATTCCTGTAGTTAATTATGCATTTACCTACTTATTTCGATAAGTATTTGATTATTTATTATTTAATAATTATTTCCTTGATTATGTGATTATGTAATTATTCTTTTAACAATTTAGTAATTGCTGCATTCACATACCTTTTTAAACATGAATCTATTGATTAATATATTTCTGTATTTCAGCATTTATTTATTATTTTATTTATGTATTTATTCAATTATTTATAAGTTCTTACATATGTATTCATGTCCATATTTATTTATTCATTTATAGATGTATTTATATATAAATGTAAATATTTATTTCAGCATTCATTTATTATTTGTATTTATTTCCAGATATATTCATGTTTAATTCACATTTGTATTTATCAATTGTATTCCTATGTTAATTTATAGATGTATTTATATCTGTATAAATGTATTAATTCACTTTTTTCTATATTTATTTTAACACTTGCCCGATGAAATTACTTCTGTATCTATTTATTATTATTTTTTTATTTCTGTATTTATTCATTCTTACATATATTCATTCCTATATTAATGTATACATTTATTTATTTCTGCATGTATTTATGATATGTGATAAGATATTTAGATGTAAGCAGGGATAGGGTTGTGTGCGCCATAGAATTTTCTTATTATCAATGTAAGTAATGGTGGTTATAATTGTGGGTAACACTGTTAACCACTACATTGAAAACATATTGTGATAAACATACCTGATACTCCTTAAAAAAGAGTCTGGATCCTCGTTGAGGTAGATCGCGATGCTTCGCAGGATGCACCCCCTCTTGATGTGGATGTTTTCAAACTAAAGCAGGGGCGATAAATCAAAGACAATTAAGCACAATGCATGTGCAACAGAGCAGGTAGTCTACAAAGTAGAGGGCTGTATCTGTCGTGTGTTTCCCTAAGCAGGACTCCTTACCCCTACATTTCCACAATAAGCTATTGCCTTAAAAACACTATAAAAGCAGACAATTTCTTAAATGTGTTCATATGAGCATGGACAAAAACAATACAGTGAAAAACGAGGTTCTCTGCATTTATACTAACCAAATCTGATATTGCAAGGGCTTCCTTGATTTTGTGGCCCTTTAGTCCTCCTTTGATCTTGAAGATCTTCAAGAGCTTGTCTGAGAAGTGGTCCAGCTGCCACATGAACTTTGATTGAAGTGGTGATGTTGTGATCCTCAAAAACTCCGCATTCACCTTAAAAATATTATTAACAAGCACAATACAACCAATTGTTACTTGTTTATTAGAATCACAACCATGCAAGGATGTAGACATGAATCACAAAGGATAATAATAAAAGACTGTCAACAAATACAAATATTTACTTACTTCACTCTGCTGAAACAGAGCAGGCCATCTGCATTTGAAGTCCCCTATCAAAGGCCTTTGCTCCACAATCTCAAGGCGTCTGTGAGAGAAGGTTTTTTCCATTTTTGCTTTTATCACCACTTCATTGTCACGCTTTTTCAGTTCTGACAATAAGGCAATTCTCTCGTTCTCCAAGCTTTCTGTGGTTTCGCCTTTTGGGTGCAGAGGAATGTAGTTTATTTCAGCTTTTCTTGTTTTTTTTATGTTTGCTGCAGCTTTGCCTTGGCCTGTTTTCTTGTGCTTTAAGGAGTTCACAAGGATTTCAGGATGTCCAAGACGGCCAAGCTTTGTACGATAGTTTTGCATTTTGTACTTAAGAGACTGTTTCCACCCCCCAAATCCTGTCTTGGATCCTAACTGCCCCAAACAAGGGTGGGCCCTCGTCAACGCTGCAGCTACCTCTTCACACTGATAGTCTTTTGGATATTTTGTGAATTTGATCATTTCTTGGGCTAGGCCATCAAGAATGACTCCTTTCAGCTTTAGGCCAGGCTGGAAGTATGTACCAGTTGTCTCAAACTCTGCATTCTGTAGATGAAGCTCAAATTCAGCCTCGTAGGTGAGCTTAGGAACCACAAAAACTGTGGGCCAGGATAACAATTGTGAGGCCTGAGCTTCAGGGGATGGATGCGGGGTTGACGTATACACCATATCATCACTGCAGCATGAGGCTATTGATGATGCAGGGATTAGAGACTCTGAGCTTCCAGTAATTGAGGTCTTATCAAATGAGTCAACTGTGTACTAAGTGATGGAGGGCTCAATATTTGACAATATAGGAGAGTAAATTACTTTCAGTGTGCTTTTATCCTGAATTTCAGACACTGATGTAAGATTCATGAACTCGTTAAAGTCAACATCCATGTATTGCAGACGGAAGTCCTCTTTCAATTGAAGAGATGTCTTGACAAATGTGTGCAGTTCTTCAACTGTTGCTGGGATTCCCGAATCCAGGGTCAGTTTTCTAGTCAGACTGGTCGGCAAAGATGATGCGCAGAAGCGCCCGACCTGCCGTTATGGAACACCTTTTAATCTAGAGCAGAAACAAGGTGAAAGAATAACAAGAAAGAAACACATTAGGATTATATCAAAGATGAACATAAAAATGTTTTTACAGTTTAACTGCCCCTTAAATGTGCATGTGTCTGCTGGAAATGTTTTAACAACAAATACCTGCTAGCTAGTTCCAAACTGCAGTGTTTGCACTGCCACATGCATAACCTGAAAAAGAGAATAAATAGAATTAGCAATTGACACTGAACAACTAACAATGTCACAGATCAGCTTGTGCAAGTATTGTGAAAGTAGCCGTGTACTTACCATAAATAAGAGGTTTCCCCAAGGTGCTTGTTAATGCTGATCAAACTGCAAAAGACAACAAATATATTTTAGAGGTGTGATTAAAATGCTTATATATTTGAATTTTCACAGAAAACACATAATTGCCTAAGATTGCACAACCCAAAAAACGTTTCTGCACAACTCTGGGTGCCTGCTTGTGAGTGAAGTAACCCATACAAGATTCACATATATATTATCTCATTATTTATATTAAATATTTGGCAGTAAAAAACTCAACTCAACTGAACTCCTACAGAAACGAGTGGCTCCGCCTGTCCTCCTCTGCCTGCCTGCACTAAGGCCAGGAGAGAGATGGACACACCTGCTGAGCTTTATGATAGAAAATGGCGGCGCTTACTGGGCTGCATGCAGGCTCTGCCTCATACTGTTACCTCATTCACTTGAATTACTCTTTGCATTTTTTGGTTGAATTTAAACTGAATTTCGGTGTACTGTGTTCAATGACAATAACGTTAAATCGAATGTAATATAATCTAATGATCTCTACTATCCAGTATCCAATGCTAACCGTATCTAGCAAGCTAGCTAACAAACCAGTTATTTGGCTAGCTAGCTTGCCTCATGCACTTTAATTACTCTTTGCATTTTTTGGTTGAATTTAAACTGAATTTCGGTGTACTGTGTTCAATGACAATAACGTTAAATCTAATGTAATATAATCTAATGATCTCTACTATCCAGTATTCAATGCTAACCATATCTAGCAAGCTAGCTAGCTTGCTGTTTAGACCCAACTAAAAACGGAGCAAAATATAACACGGTGGTTTCAAATATTCTTGTCGATATTATGAAAAGGCATTACTTGGAAACAGGGAACATTCTAAACTACTAGAAAAAACAAATACTTACCAAATAATAGACTTTCCACCGTCAGTTTCCCCAGTCAGTTTCCACATGCAGTCAGTGTTAGACAAAAGGCGGCAAATGACAGAACGGATGTTGCGCATACGCAAAGGGGGTGTGCAAAGGGGCGGTCCCCAATGAAAACAATTCATTTTGAGTTGCTCTGTCTTAAATACATTTAATAAGTGAATTGATTAATGTAATTTGTGTTACACTAATGAACTATACTTAGGTTTATTTCTTAAATAAAAATATTTAAGTAAAGTGAAACCATTTTTAATGTGTCAAGTCTAAGAAGGGCTTGAATCATTTTTTTGAGTGCAGACAGTACACACACACTCATGCACTGTTGCGTTCCTGTTTAAGGCACTTATCAAAATGCTTATCTTTTTCAGATTAGCCACACAAACTTCTTATTAAATTACACAACGAAGGGTCTTTGATTTGAGACAGAGGTAGACAACACAAGCATTTAATTTATAGCCGATGGCCAAGAACAGCGCCAAATAAAAATATAACTGTCGCTAGCGGATTTTATTAGCTGTAAGATAATGCTACCTCTGTGAGTTGGTTAAAATGTTGTCTCCAGCTGATTTTATTAATGTCTTTTATATCTTGTAAAAATCCTTAAATATGCACCTGATAGATAGAGGTAAATGCTATTAGACTGAGGCTAAAGCTAACAACTCACAGTTAAAGAGTCATCATTGTGACTAGTGGCTCATCTCTATAGACAGGGATAGGGCTGAGAATGATAAACAGAGATGCAATCAACGTTGACATGGGGACATTTCATAAAATATAATAAATGAACTATGACAGGAAGGCGTATATAGGCTACTTACTGTCAATTAAGCCCACACACGCTCAGGCTCCTACATCCACAAAATAGAGGTAATAAATGCACAGGGGGAAATACCTATAGCCAACATTAGGCCAGATTCACAGGCTACACAACAAATTAAAGGATAAAACAAAATCCTTTAAGCTAACCTGTGAGCATAATTTCAACCATATGGGTGCTAGGCCAGAAACGTAGCCACAATAACAAAAGTGTAAAAATACCACTTTTGAACAGCATAGCGTACAAAGCAGGAGAGGCATTTTACCAAGGTACATTAAATGTGACATAACGTTAAAAAGCCAAAGACAAACTGCATAGAGTACTTTGCAGGTTTGCAACAATACAACCTCGATTGTACACCTGCAGCATTTGTCAAGTCAAGCGGGGACCAGCAGCATTATAAAAGTAGGCATGACAAGAAAATTATCAGTTTCTGTCAGTTGCAATGAGTGTTGCAATGCTATCTTTGCCTTCTGATTGGACAACAAACTGATGGTAAAGGCAGTAGACATCAGGCAGATAACAAAAGCTGCCAGACACCTCCATGCTTTCCAGACATCACCAAGGCAGCATGGCACACTTCACTTATAATCCTTCATCAAATGCATCTAATACACCCATTTAACATTCAAAGAAAGGGGTTTATAAGCACTTTCCTTATCAGACATTATTCTATAAAAAGTATTTAGGTCCAATCCTGTTTGTTCTCTCAATATCTTTCTTTTGAGGTCATTACACTTGACCCTCAAATGTAAGCTCTTCATGTTCAGTTAACATCGCCAAACCACAGCCATTGGTCAGCACCAGTCATAGGTCAGCAGGACGACTCAGCACTTCACACTGAGTGCAGGTTGGGGGATGGGAGTGTGTGAGTCAGAAGGGCAGGGGGTTGGGAGATGGAGGAGCAGAGAGAAGGGGAAGCCCAGACACCTCAATCCCCCAGGAAAGGACCAGTAGGCTGGGTGTGACGGTCATGGGACGTAGGCATAATGAGGATACATCACGGCAGCAATGAGGTGCTCTATCACAGGCACACACACCGACAAGCAGGCATACACACTCCGACTCCAATGGCCCACACAGATGTCAAACCTTAGAGCTGATCATGGCAGAATATGTCAAATAAGCCTCAGTCTCAGCCAGAAATCCCACTGTAAAATACAACTTTAGAATCAGAATCAGAATACCTTTATTCGTCCCACAGAGGGGACATTTACATTTTCAGTGAAGCAAGTTCAGTATAAGACTGTGGGAACATGCTTTTTCTTCCACTCTTCTCTGGAGTCTGTTTGCTATTTCTCTGGGAAAGAAGGAGCAACACTTTTCCTGTCGCCTTCAGCCACCGCCGATGCCGAGCAGTAAAGTGTACAGCGTGCAGTAAAATAAAATGAGGTGTGGAGAGAATTGGACTGATCTGCAAAGCCATTGGCTGCCGTGAGCGTTGTAAAAATAATAACACTCAGTCATAAAACAAAGTGCTTATTAAATCATTTTAAACAATATCGCACAATGTGGTGTGCTTCGTGAGCGTTTCAACAAAACAAGAAAAATATCTCATGGGGAAAGCAGCTGAACAATCACATTTAATTTAATAAGTTGATCATCATCACAGCGCTGAGTAAGACTTTTGGGAGGCCTTGGTGGCTGATCTCCTCCCAGCACTATCAATAAAGTCACACTTGGCCATTATGTGGCCATTACTTGGACAATAAGTGACAATTGTACATCAGAGGAGCAGGGGAGAACAGTCTTACTAAACTAAGCCTGGGGTTTCTCCATGTGTGGTGAACAAGGCCATGCATGTACACAAAATGCATATATTATACTGTGTAGCACTTTGTCAAATATTGTATTTTCAACCCCAAGTAGTGACCATTAGAGACTTTTCTCTATCTAGTATATGCAGACAAACACACTGATGTCCTAACGCCTATACGATCTGCACTCATTCTTTCACACTGTCTGGCCAGTGATTTCATTTTTTTTGCTATATTGAGCTGCAGTGAAGGGATTTCTACCACTATCAGTGTAATGGAGGGCTGATAAGGAAGATACAATGTAAGGACTGTAACTGGGACTGCAGCTTTCTAATGGATTTGTGCGTCAGCAAATAACAAAAGGATGGAGAGTCATGCAGTTCAGAAAGAGAGAAATCATGAGCTGCACTAGAAAATGTACGTGATCAACTAGGTCAAATGGATTCAGACACTTTGCACAAAAGCAAAGCTGAATGTAATCTAAAATAGTTCCACTGTATAGCCCCCTTAGTAGCCAGGGAACACTGATCTTATGTCAACATCATCACCGCAATATTAATTTAGGTAATCTGCATTTCCTGCTTTCCCTGTGCTTTTACTTTGGTCTTTGCACAAAATACTTTTTTGCAATTATATCATAAAATGTATAATGCAAACATTTCAAAGGCTTTATAAATCAATATCCCTTGTGATACAGTTATATCAAGGCAAATTGCTGTAAATGTAATATTAAATAGATTTAAACAGTCAAATCTCACCTAGTATGCTGCTGATCTTCAGATTACTTCAATACTTTGATTTTCCCTAGGGATGGCTATAATGAAAGGAATGGATACCAATTACTAGAAATGAAGGGCAAACAAAGGCAGCAAGTGACATGCCATTAGTCTGTGAGGTTGATGTGCAGCTGCTGTCCTCATTGTTAATACTCATTCTTAAATTAGCATTGTAGTTTTAGTCATCTGCATTGTGAAACATTTTTTAAGTTTTCACACTATGTTACCTTCTTGTTTGTGGTCTGTACGACAACAAATACATTATGTATATGGTTTGTCTTCTTACTTCTATTTGATACATTTTCTTCTCCCCCAAAATTGGTAACTGTTTCTTTATATGTCCAGAAACTAGGACAATTTAGTTGCCTTACCTGTGAATTTACTTGTGAATGAAGAGGGTTTACACATACAATCGTTGTCGTTGTTTCTTTCATTCCCTGCTCCATCAATCAAGGGAAAGGAAGTGCTTCATTCTGGAGAAAGCAAAAGTCCTTTATGAAGCTGACTGAAGTTGGGGCCACGTACAAGGTGAAATATGAAGAGCATTACATTGGGAAAACTAGGAATAATTATAAAAAACTGCTGGCTTAAACACCCAGTCTGAAAATCAACATTTTGCTTAAGACTCATAATCCATAAAGCATGATGCTAAACACTGTCTTGCTCATACTGTATTGACTGTATGTAAGGAATTGTATTGTGTTGTTTGCGTCTGGGTACTGTCTGTACTGCCATTTGTACTCTATAATTAGCTTATCACTATAGCTTCCCAATATTTTGGAAAATGTTCCCGATAATTAAAAAACACACTTTTTTCTCAAAGGTTGTGCAAAATCCCAGGAATGTAAATCTGTTGTCATCCTCTAAGTACACTTAAATATATTGAGATTTTTCTCTCTGCTGCAACTAAAGAAGTCTGATGTTTGTGTGCTTTTTAAAATCAATACTTAAATATTTGAATTCTCTATCCAAGTCTCCAATGTCTCCAAAACCGAGAACTAATGATGGCTAAGAGGATAAAGACGAGGAAAGATCAACACCTCGATCCAAATAGGGTTCCCCTAGGAGACTGTTCTGGTTCACCACCCATCATCCTAATAGCTGTTTCTCAAGAGGTGACACTCTAACCAGCCCTGTTCAAGCCCTTCATTTCAATATAATCAAACCAACTGGTTTCTAAAATATATTCAAGACTTGATGTTACATTTTTGCAAGAAGCTATAATTTTGACGATTTGATTCAGATCAGAAGGAGAAAAAAATGAATATTCCTGTACAAATTACAGGGCCCTATACAGAACACCACAACATGTATTTAGTTGTTAAAATAGGACAACAACAAGCCACTCACAAATCTATTTGTGCTCAAGAGCTGAGCCGGAAAATGAGTGGAGATTGGGGAGCTGAAATCAAGTCTTATATCTTTTTAATTCCCTCAAATTCTGTTCCCTTTTCCTGATTTAGTAACAGAAGCTCATTAACACGTAATATGTTGAAAGCCCTCAATAACTATAGTTACAAAAAAGCTAAATAACTTGGGTACAATCTTGTCTGAACAAACTAGTAAGAGAAACATGCCAAGTCTTCAAATAATTATATCTCTCATTGTGCAGACAAATGGTTGCATGTTAACAACAGTGGTGCTGCTGCTCAATATGCTTTAATTTTTAACATGCATGTTCTTGAAATGTTCATGCTAAGGATCTTTTCCACAACACATTTCAGACTATTTATATGTGAGCACATTGAATACAGAACATAAAGCTGACTACATTCAACCTCAAATATTCTCACATTTAAAATAAATGTAACAGTAGTGATTATTTGTCATAGAATTCTAGCTTGAAGTTGACAAATAACACATGTAGCCTATATTCAAATCAAACCAAAAGTGAGGATGATATGAATGTATTGTCTACTATAAAATAGTAGTAGTATCTTACTACCTTAGCTTGATGATTAATAGCCAATTGATTAAAATGTCAAGCCTAGGCAAAGGTTTGATTGAACGGAGATTTCGTCTTGTTTATTTTGTCTGCTGACCATTTCACAAGTGCTTTACTTTTTCCGATGGATATTTTAGATTGAGGACATGAAGTGTATATGTTTATTTCCTGAAAAACAAACTAAACGAAGCAGAAATGTTTAATCGGATTTACCTCTTCCGTATGGCTGCAAGTGCAGTCGCGGTTAAACTGCCGCACCTGCTTAAAAGCTCAAGGAGCAGACCACGTTAATTGGTAGGGGAGTAGATATTGCAGAGACGGCGTCAATTTGTGTTAATTTGATGGTTTAATCAAAAATGTATGTACAGGTTATTAAGTAGGCCTATACAGTTTTACTTGTAAACATGTATTTGAATGTATGTAATGTGTTTTTTCTAATAATTATTGATTAGTCTGTTCCTATGCCCCGCTCACATGGTATTTTACAACTTCGTACCTGCAGCGCGGATCGAAAAAAGGGCAGCTCGTCACTCTGTTTGAAACTGTTACCATGCCGTGTCCGATAATGAAACCCCCATATGCAATACTTAATATGTGATGTGCGGATGTCATATGTCCATCGGCCTGTATTACATTGTGGTGTTGCTGTGTTCGCATTTGTGGATATCTACGAATTAGAGCTGGTGTGGTGTCCGCTGTGATACTAATCCACTTCGTGCTGATAGGAAAGATAATTGTGAAGCAAAAGGGCATGTCAAACCCTTCGATAGGCCCTGCTTGTGTGTGGCTGTGAACTTTGGCGAAGATAGGCTATAATTTAATTAATTACAATGATTAAATCCCAACCGGATTTGGGGATTTGTTAAAACATGGATATCATTTTCAATGTGCGAGGTTTATTGTTATCTGTCTTTGAATCCTACCCTCTTTTTAATGTGTTAATCTCTGTACAAAGACAAACGTTGTGAGTTCATTTGGATTAAATATTTTTAATTTAGTCCACAAGGTAGCATGACTGCAGAAACCCTAAACATATTCGGTTCCTGATTTGAACAGAGCTAAATAAGTGGATCCTTTTATATGCGAAATCCATCTTGCTCTGTTTTTGTTGCTCTTGTATGTCACATAAGCACGTAGCAGCCTGCCCATTTTCCAGCTGCATAGGCTAGCTGTCTCCGGTGCACCGTAAATAAGGTTGATAAACACGCCGCCGAAAATGACTTTCACGCGTCCCCCGATTGATTTAACGTGACCCCCGTTTCCAAATGATATTGGAAGCCTATTTAAACAGATGAAGGTTTAAATTGTCTTGCTTGTATGCGCATTAATCTCCCATTCATCATCATTACTGTGTGATTGGTCCGTCCACGCCTCCGCCAGCCCCTTGCGTTACGACAAGGGCCTGTAAATTAGGATGTAATCCAATTTAAACAGCGGTAGCAGCAGCCACAGATCCATTTGGTGTTTCTTTTTCTTTTTTTGAATTTGCTGTCGGTCGACAGCTGCAGTGTACCGCCCCTATCAAAACGCTTTGTGCTAGTTGTGGGAGCTGGGGAGCCCTGAGCCAATTCTCACTAATAGGATCTTATACGGCTGATGTAATTGGTGTTATGTGCGCAATCTATGAGCCCATCATATCTTGAAACTCAGTCATACGCAATCTTTCAGCGATTAAATGGCATGTTGATGCTGGATTAGGCCGCTGAGGATTCAGTCATATAGTTTATGCAGTGAGGGGAAATGGGGTTCCATATGCGCTCAGTAAATGTGGTTGTAATTCGCCTCACTTTAATGTGTCATTCTGGCACAGTGTGGCGCGGGTTTAGAATATGATCGTATAGTGCTACTGCTCCTGTGTAACCAGGTGCAAATCAGATCCAAGCTTTAAAAAGAACCCGCTATGAAACTAGAAGTTTGGAGAGACTGCGTCTCTTGAATAATCCGCTAGCCTGATTCGTTCATCTTTTTTTATGGCACAGTTTTATTATGCACAAACCAAAGCCATTTTCCTGCATGACCCGTGTCCCTATCAGGCTTAAAGACACCGGCTGATAGTTTACATAAATCTGCCTTGTGGTTTCGCCCCGACCCAGGCGGCTTAAACGGTGTATTATTCCAAACATATGCATTTTAATCAGCTCGGTCACACTTACAAGAACTCCAGTTAATAAGGCCATCAATCAAACGCGTGTGCGGGAGGCAGTAGTGGGAGAAGGGGGGCTCAGCGGTGCGGTGTGTGTGGGTGCAGTCCTGTCTGATTAGGATGAACCTTTTACCTAAAGCATGAGAGGAGAATGAAAATGTAGTTATAAAACATGTTTTTGTGTCGTTTTCCATTGACACAGTTGTTAATGGAGGACTTGATGAATTAGCTTTTCTAGTTGTTATTTAGTATTAAGGCTGGTGGACAGTATCTCAGCTAAAAATAATAATCAAAAAGCTTTGCAATCTTGCTTGTTAGATTATAGCTGCATAATTACGCAATAGGCCAATCGTTTTGCCAGGTGGGCTCTGCATGGCCAACGCTAAATGCAGCCATCTCTCCACTGCATTACTGCAATCACTTGTGATCTCTCCCATGCATGGAGTAAAAAACCGTTTAAAATGTTTATTTGTGTGTCTCTCTGAGGGCCACAGCACCCCTCTAATAGCTATTACGCGCAGAAAACTCTTTTAATTTGTGCAGCCCTGGTCAAATGCGGCCAATTAAGATTGGTGGCGGGCCTCTGCGAATCATCGATCTCTTTGCATTTCCAATACCTTCAGACAACTAATTTTGTCTTGTCTATTAAGTAGTCGGAGAGAAAATATGAGTGGCTATAACGGAGCTCAGGGACCACTTAACTGTCACGGGCAATCTAGTGGTCCCATCAGGAGATATGGGCGCGCTCTGGTGTTGTGACACCAACCACTTGAGAACCAAATTAGTTTTATTATTGCAGGGGGGAGGTAGACCAATTGTGAGTGTAGAAAATCCTTAACCACCCAAATGAAAAGATACCCGAAGAAAATACTAGTTTAAATCAGTTTGTATTCTGTTGTCTTGGTTTGAATTATTGAGAGATAGCCTACTGTTTTTAAATTCTCATTTTCTCAGTTGTGCTGTATACGGGCTCTTTGAATGAATCATAAAGGCGTTTAGAAAAAAATACTCAATTGATTCTTTGACAGTGTTTATTGCAAATTAGACGATTAGGACAACTCAGTAAAAATAAGAAAATAAAACAAACAGTCACGTATTAGTCCGCTTTCTCAGCCACTAAACTGGCGCCACAGTGCAATAAAAATATTTAAAAAGAGGCCTACAGGCATATATTAATCACATTTTCATCTCATAGAAGAACTGTCTCTTGTATCGTTAAGGGAGGGAACTGAAAGAGTGTTTTATATACTTAAAATGTTCACTTTTATTTATTTATTATTTTATCATTTTTGATTGTCCTCTCTCTGTCTCTCTCTCTCCATCCTCTTCTGGGTCCTTCTTCTTCTCTTCCCCCCTCTTCAAACCGTGCTGGCTGTAGTAATCCGTTCCCTCGGCGCCTTGTTACCTTTTGGCAGTAACGATCCCTTCCTGGTATTATCATTAATTCAACACTCAAAAATCGCCGGGTCGTACATATACATCACTTAATAATTTCACTAGCATCTGCACATTTCGGGCCGGGCCGCAGCGGAGGGCCCCGGTGTGGAGAGCTGCTTTATAATGAGACGGCCGCAGTCTGTTAACAAATCCCCTTGTTAAAAAGAGACATGGAAAGCATCATTCTCGCGTAACTAACAATACACGTAGGTCAATTTAGACGCGTAAAGAGAGGAGATGCCATAATAAAAAACTTAACGCCAATCCATCTCACATTTATTTTTTTCTGGATTCCCCTTTCTGTCAATTATCAAATGAATGTTCTGAAAATCTAATTTGTGTCCATGTCGTCATATTTCAGCCTACTGCTCTGGCTCTGTAATGGGATTATTATTTTTCAGTAATGGGAGATCAGTTGTGCGTCACATAGCTGAATATCTGGCTAATTATCTTGCCTCTGATTTAAGCTGGTTTTCACTGCTAACAGGCTACCTCCTCATGCTGTTTCAGTCCCGATCATATAATCTGTTATGTTAAAAAAAAAGCTTATGTTAAATGCTTATATATAACTACAGCTGGTGTGTTTTGGTTTTATCTGGTCAGAGGCACTTCTTCCCTCTGGTCTAATGTCACAGGTGAAGATTTGCTGAGCACTGAAGGCGTGAAAGTGACAAAAGCGTCAGTCCTGCTAGTTGGGGAGCAAGCGAAGTCCGAGCCAGAAGGCCTGGTTGAGATGCCGTTGGATTGACTTGAGTGACAGGCCAGACAGGAGCAGGGGCTTCCTCCGGGTCCGAGGCCGTGGTGCGGACCCGGGTACAGGGAGGGGTGTCTGAAGGCGCACAGGAGCTCCGGCCTCGGGTAGGGATGAGACAGCATCCGGAAACTGTCGAGGGAGCGCAGGGGGTTTGAGAAAGGGGTGACAGTTGGAACCGAGCCAGCTCCGACACCAAGGTGGGAGTAGTAAGGAATCGGCAGGTGGGTTGGGAAGGGGTAGGGCAGGTTCCCTGTGGCCGCTGCGTGGCTCATCATGTAGGTGTAGAAAGCCGGGTCTGCGGGGTGAGGCCACGTCATTGCCAGACGCTGCCGCTTGTCTTTCATCCTGCGATTCTGAAACCACACCTGGCAGAGACAGAGACACACCGAGTCAAATATTAACCACAGGCCACACTGATCCAAAGACAAACAACAATAACAAAAGCAGATAGTTCATACAGTACTTCTGCTTTTACGCACGACTTGAAATGCAGAAAGAGTTCTTGAATTCAGTTTTGTGATTTATATGGACATGTATTTCTCACAAGGTGCATTTGTTCGTTGAAAACAGAAGACAAAAAAATACAACAGGCCTGTGCATGGTTAAACCATGTAGGCCTATATGTGCATGTAGCATGCATATTAAAAGTTATTCTTGATATTTGGTTATGAGCTTGTCTTTCGCTTACTTTGTGGTGTTTTTGCAATATTTCTTGCATGTAGAATGTGCAAATTAATTGGATAAATATTTGATTTTATGAGCAGTTCTGCGAGATTTCGTTTTGATAGAGCTTTCCAAAAACAAGCTCGAATATGTGGTCGTGTATACTGAGCGAGAGGCCTGATTCAGCTCTGCTCCTTTGAGACTTAAGCATCTTACCTTGATGGTGGTTTCAGGTAGATTTAAGGCGGCCGCCAGCTCGCACCTCCGCGGCCTGGATACGTAGTTCTCCCGGTAAAATTCTTTCTCCAGCCGTCCGATTTGCTCCCGGGTGAACGCTGTCCGGTACCGGCGAATCTGATCCGCTGTGTAGGACATAGATCCTGGTCCTTGGACCATGTTTCCCGGGTCAACACAAGTCTCAGACGGGTGACCTGGAGAATCCCCATTTCGACCTGAAACAGTATATACAGAATAATTCATCAGATTTAATAATCATGCTTAAAATACATTCAGAAAAAAAAATTCCACCCAAAACACATCGAAATGTTTAATTAATTTCATTCGATTCGTAATTAATAAGCTATATGAGGCTTGCTAATTTCATTGTTTTACCTCCCTGTTCGTCATTTTAATTGTGAAGGGTCTGCCTAACATAATTTTAGCTCAGACAACTCTTCATTTTCTCGTAACATCTACCTGCTAATATTTCTATTCATATTTTTTTCAGAGTATTTTCATTTGTTGAAGCATCATCTTAAAATAAGGACAGAGGTTGTATTGTTGTCATTCGTTGGTATAAGTCCACCGGTTTGGTTTGAGGTAAATAGAGCTGGAAATACTTAGTTATTTATAATAATCTGAATGTCTATTCAAATATTGTCGTTGTAGGATGTAACACATTTGTACGCACATTGCAGTCTTAAGTCATTGTGCCCAAGAAGATGCCCAACATTTCCTATGTTAGTGGCCTTCTCGTTTGGTTTTTGCTTGCGGTTTACATACAATCCTACATTCTTCCTCATGAATGCACACATAGGCTTTGCTTTGTACGAGTTACTAGTCAAACTCAGAGGGAGACAATGTCTAAGATTGTGGGTGTCACCTCACCGTGTTTCCAGCGACACTGGTCTCTTCACAGAACAGCTGTGCAGCACCGACTGCGGTTTTATTCTTATGTCACTGACGCTAGTGCATTGCATTGAAGACTCATTTTGATTTTATCGTGCAGTTTTAGATATAATAAATGCACATTTTAGACTCATTGTGTTTACTGACGCTTCTGATTGCAATAATGCACGTTGGTATTTAATCTGATCATTGTCACGACCATGCAATCACAGAAAACCCGCAGTGGCATCCGGCTCCCAGCCTACCTTTAGCTGTGGGGTAGTCCATGCTTTCAGGCGTGCAGCTGACATCAATTTCCTCGTAGAAGTCAGACTCTGTGTCTGAGCTGCTGCCGTCTTTGTGGGGATGATCTCTCCGGTGTCTCTCTCCGGACGAAGACCTGCCAACTGGCCTCATTTCGGCGCGCATATTCCTCCGTGCGCTCTCCTCCATTACCAGCTCCGCTCTGTCCCGGGAGTAGGGCGCAGCGCCGGGGCTCAGACAGCTCCTGTGGCCCGGCTTCCCCTGCGGTTCTCTTGCGGGGCTCCCGATAGCTCCGGGCAAACTGGAGGCGCTCTTGACAAGCTGAACTCCCTCCGCCAGCATCACCATCTCCTCTCTGCTTTCCATCACAAGCACGACTTTAAAAAAAAGTGTTCGCAAGAGCCGTCAAAACCAAGACGATGATTTTCAGGTTGGAGGGGTGTGTGTGTGTAGTGATGGTGGGTGGGGGGATTGAGTCCTAAGGAAAAGGAGAGGCTTTTTGAAAAGAGGGGATGCTATCCGGTCTGACCCTGAGAGAGGAGCGCTCCAGAGTGCGCAGTGGGAGCTCTGGGAGGGATCACCATTTACCCTCTCTCTCTCTCTCTTTCTCCGGAGCTGTCATTCTTAATAGGCCAGTCGTCATGTTGGTCCCCCCCCCCCCCCTGATGACGACACGCATTGATTGGGAATGGGTAAACAGACGGCAGCGTCGAAATGGAGGTGGGGGGTGTCAGAGAGGGCATAAAAGGCAGCCATGGAAATCTATCTTTTTATCTATCTCGTTGTATCTAGCTATCTTTTTTACATATATATATCTACAATTTTCAGATTTTTTTTTCAAAAGCTTAAAAAAAGATGTATTTTCACATTTGTATACGATTGAAATACATCTTACCGGTTTCAACTGATGCAATGCATATGGTGGATTTTATGATAAATAAAAAAAACGTATCAATCAATTTTTCTATATGCGCGATTTAGTGCACCCCCCTCCTCTTCTCTTTGCCTTTAGTGCCTCCCTAATCTCCACCTAAAGTGGAGTCAAGTAAAGTCCTCAAAGGTCAAGTCTTGCGGTCAGAGTTTAGAGATGCCATTTGACATGAAGTCCTAAAAGTCATCATCTTAAAATAGAGCAGCACCCAGGCGGAAAGCATAATTCATTATTTCTGTCTTTTGTATTATCAGGAATATACACGTATGTCCTATACATTTAAAATGTAATCTTTAATTTGAAAAACAAATCTGAAATGCACTTATTTCTCCCTTACCTACATACTTTTAAACCACAAATACAAATGGCGTGCAGCTGTAACAGTGGTTTTAAAAAAGAGCAGTAATGGGTGAGGCTTTTTTATTCTTTTATAGGTTCCTAATTTTAAATAGTCCAGTGATTATGAAACATAATGAAGGAAGAGTTACTTCATGGCTTTAATAACATTTATAAACTGTGGCAGGTGTGAGGAACTCCCACAAAATAACTTCATGTGTCTTTAGAGAACAGGTATATATACTCTCCCTGATCTCATGTGGATTTAACAGTTGTGTCAAATCTTGGTTCATTGTATGCGTGATATTAATTGTAAAGGATGCAGTACCCACGATGTCCACTGAATGTTTTCTGGTGTTGATGCCACTTTAGACTTTGATCGAGTTCACTCTCCTATTCTTCCTAACTAAAATGGGCTGCCATTTTATTTAACTTTTTTTTCAGTGGCCAAAACATGTACACATGTGATTGAAAAATCACATGTGCCTACCACCTAAATGCTAGTCCGATATCAGAGAATCTAACTATTATGTTTTCTATGTTTGCAGAAAATCATTTTATGCACCTTTTTTCCAAATTCAAAGGGAATACAAAGTTGAGTTAATATTAAAATATCCTGTGATCTGACATTGTAAATACTGTATTTACATGTGAACAGAAAACAAAGTTGAGTAGGCAGTTTCTAGTCATATACAATAATACAATTGCTGCTTCTGTTTAGGGGGGTCATCTCACCTTTTCACATAACAATATTATGGATAGAGACATTTGCTATCACACATTTTCAAGTGACGCTAACTGTTATCCATTATGCGTATAAAGCAATACAAAACTAATTATACCAGGGTGCTTTGTATAATTGAAGAACATCAAGATATTAGGGCAGCATTAGTGATCAGTTAAGCTGCTTTGTTGTATTAAATCCTGCACCTGTTCCTTACCTAAGCATATGATTTATAATAACACCCTAACCACTCTGTCCTCCGATATGTTTTCAAGTTTTGGTGAAATAGCATTACTTTATAACCTGGTCTGTTTAGAAACAGCCTTCTCCCCCCGACTTGTGATCAGATTAAGCAGCAGTAGGTTTTGTTGGTACACTCGGACGGCCATGTCGTGTAGAGAGAGTGAGTCATTTGGTCTCTCAGGAGATGCAGTCAGGCTGTGCAGCTCCAGTAGCCTCCGCTGTCCTTGTGCGCCCTCGCCTGTCCGAAAGAGGGAAGAGGCCCAGCGGCGGCAGCCCCCTCCCCCAGCCAGCTGAGGAGCTGAGGAAAATTCCTTTGGCTTTCTCCCCCGACTCTTTCATCTGGCCAGCAAAGGCAAAAAGTAAACCTCTCTCACTCAGACGATTGGATGTTGTTGCTTTTGGGCATAGTTGGTAAAAACTTTTATCTGGGCTGCTTTGCAAACATAGCTACAACTCGAAGTATATAAGAAAAAAAGTTCCCTTAGTTTCCAACTTTCTCTCATTTGATTTAATGAATGTTGATTAAGTGACGTAAACTCCCAATGTATTAAAACTGAAGTGAGTTGTGTTTCTTAGACAGAACCAATAGCACGAATACACAGTAGATCTTTCTGCATGCTGTTATTGAAGAACTGGAAATGCAATGAAGGAATTTCTCAGACACACTTTAAATATTTTTGAAATATAGTAAGAAGGAAAAGCTAATGCATTTTTTTGATTTTGGTCTTTGTGGTTCAAGGTTAGTTGAATGCTGTAAAACTCGTGAATCTGCTCATTTATATTGCCAAGCCCTAGTTGTTAAAAATAAGGTTGAGCTTGTGCATTATTTCCCTTATCGAAAATGTTTTTATAGCAGTGCATTTAGTAGCCTATGTTACAAAGGCTTTTTTGGATTCAGGCAGATCACTCCCGAAGCTGTATACGCATATTTTCTTAAAGACACAAATTGTAGTTCGACATTTTAGTTGTGATTTCCAAATCATAAAGATGGGTCACGTGCAGTCTTCCAGTGTAGCACTGCAGATATGCTAAAGGTCCCATTGTTTTGCTACTTGGAGTTATGCAATGGGTTGTGTCCGGGGCAGATGGGATCTTGTGATCATCCGGAGATAACACTTAGAAAGCGTTTTGCGCAACAGATGAATGACCTTGTGGGTTTACAGTAGTGTCACTTATATAGTGTGTGTTTTAGATAATGAAGGCCAGCGGATGGGTTTGGAGAGTTTGATGATTGTGGAACCGTTTTATACTTTATTTACAGGCAGGAATGATCATGCATTGGATAAAAATATGTTTGTCCAAATTCTGCACATTTTTGGCGGCAGAAGTGCAGAAAGTGGACCGCAGTCATGGCTCTGCTTCAGTGTCTAGTTTTGCAGGGGGAGATCAAAGAGGGGGAGCGCCCCCCACGGCAGACACTGCAGAATGCGCCCCCTCAGTTTTACTAGCCAGCCCAACTTGAACTTGACCATGGAGCCTGCGCAGTACGCATGTAATCCAATCCATGGCCCTGCAGTGCAGAGCTGACAGAATATTTGCTTTTTAGCACAAAAAGTGTTTCATCGTGTGAATGAATGGAGTTGGTGGATGTTCAGTGTGCAGCAAGCTGAGATGCAGTGCGTTGAAGGAGTCAGAACCTGGAAGAAAATACCATCTAGCCTCTCCTTCATGATCGTGGCCCCTCCCGTCTCTGCTGCTTCAACTTGGCCTTGAAACAGGATGACGCGGCTACCAGAGAGTTAACTCGCTGACCTTGGAGCGAAACATGTCCTGATGACTGTATGGTCCCCGCGCTGTAAGACCCACTTTTATCGCTATTCCATCCAGCGAAGCTATCACACAAATGGCTTAGCAAGCCTCTGAGATCAAGCCTGTATCACCCTATTAAAGGGGCAAACATCATTGGTATGGCTTACCACCAATTCAGCAGTAGCAAGGCAACACACCAGGTGCAAAGCCCTGACGTTTCACAAGAGTGCATGCGATGTTTTACGCTGCGTCCCTGGCATCTTTGAGAAAGGTGATATTTATAAGTCTGCCTGGCTGAAAATGGCTTTTTATTTTTAGAGAGTGTTCTGCAAGTGTATGTCCCACTGTTTCTTAATATGTTTAACGATTTTAGCTGCTTATGGATTGGCCAGAGGTAGATTTGAGGTGATTTCTGTGCATAATTTGTTGAACTATCCTCTTATGGAGGTGCTGATGTTGTCCGTCTGCAATGTAGCATTTAGACTGACATTCAATGAATTTGCATTGGATTGAATGTGTGTTAATAAAAGCCCCGACAGAGAGCTGTGTTTCTTAATTGGAGCATTTTGATTTGCTATGTCGAATGATACATTATATTGCGCTTGCCATGACTTGAGTGACTCATGGATAGCAGTATGCAAATAAGTCGTAGAATATTTTTTAGTAAGATTTTGGAATAAGTTTACATCTTAAAAATGTTTCGGCCCTGTTACAATTTTAATGGATGAGTCGAGATGAAGGCGAAAGTTAATAAATAGCATGCTGTTTAAAAATGATCTATCTCTAAACCTACATCACATATTTATACATTTAAAAAAACGGGGGAAAGCTAGCTACATTTTCTATAATTTGATGACGCCTTTATAATTAATGAAATTGAACGAAACGTGCAAGTATCTCAAATATAAACTTACTGTTTTATTATGCCTTTAAAATCCTCAGTATCCAGTTTTTAAAGAGGTACAAATGTTTGCAGTTTAATTGTTTAAGCAGATATCTCCTTTATTTATACATTGTGACGATTGGTCGATCTTTAAATGCAGGTCAGCTGATACTCAATGTTTGCGACTATTTTCGTTTTGTTTTGACTAGATCTCTTAAACTCACTACAGCATCTTAGTATTAAAATGCAAGTGGAGACATGCGTTCTCTGTTTACGCATTTTATTTTTTAAATAAGGAAACAACAAATCCTCTGAAATATAACAGGTGTAAGCGTTTCGTCCCAGGACACAGTCTTATTTAAAAAATAATGTTATTACATTAGTTTTCTATTTTATTATACACTATTTGCAGCTTATATTTGAGGTGCAGTATACTACAGACTGGGAAGTAATATTTGTATTTCGGCCTTTGTGCTTTATGGAGCAGTAGGCCAAAATGGCAGATTCTGAATATATTCAGAATCTGCCATTTTTACCGTGTGGTTACTTGTAGGAAAGCGGAATAAGAATGGCACAAAGATTACTGCAATAATTATGCATTTTAAAGAGAGTACTAATTCCTATTATACATCCATGCATTTGCAAGCCTGTGAATGAAACACACTGCATATACCTTCATA